ACTCAGTAGCCACTCCGATTAGAGGCTTAGTATGACAGAAAAACATTGTAAAAAGATCTGCTGGCCAGCACTAATCTACAGAAATTCCCATACATATAAGACATGGAAAAGATTCCGTAATACAAAATAGCAAAATTCTAAAAAAAAACACTCAATATTCATAGTGGACATGACAGGGAAGAAGCAGACTCGTGGAAACTGGTTATAAAACATAAAATTATATCCTTATCAAAATCAATTCACATAGATTCAAGACAACTGTAAAAAACAAAATAAATTTATTAGGGAAGTTTAGCAGAATGTTTTCGGCTGAGGGTACTTTTTTTTATTTTTTATTTTTAAAGATTTATTTATTTATTTATAAAGCCCTGGGTACAGTCAGAAGTGCGGGAGGGTGAGAGAATTCACCAGAGCCAGAGCGGGGAGCAGAGCAGGCAGAAGGACCGAAGTACACTGCTGAGGGGAGCAGTGGGTGGCAGGAGAGGTCTGCGCGCCATGTGGGACCCTCATCTGGTGGCCGGGGAGCAGCCGGGGATCGAACCAGTGCTGCAGAGGCTGTGGGCTGCTTCGCAACCCAGCGCTCAACTGCTGCGCCACTGGGGAGGTCCTGAGGGTACTTTTAAATAGACTCAAAAAGCTTATATTATGAAATTGTAGTTAAATTCTACTATGTGTCAGGCCTCCCTGGGGGCCTAGGGGTTAAGTCTCAGCACTGTCACACCTGAGGTGTGAGTTTGATCCCTAGTCAGGTTGCTGACCCACATAGTGTGCAGCAGACCTCTCCTGCCTCACCCTCTACTCCTCTTAGCAGTGGATTTCAGTGGATCTGCCTGTTCTGCTCCCCATTCTGGCCCTGGTGAATCCTCTCACCCCCCGCACCTCTGGCCTACACCCCAGTTCTTCTACACATAAATAAATAAAATTTTAATAAAAATTCTACTATATGAAGTACAAAAACAAAAGATTCAGAGAGATGTCTGGACCTCTTGGCAGATTCCAGGTGTCCAGTGACGAGATCATTGATAAGCAAAATTGATATCACAAAATGTGATAAATCAATATTTTGGCGTGCTGCAAAGCACAATGTGGAAGAATCTCAGAAACAATGTTTAGGAAATATTAGGATGATCAAATACATGCACAGCACAATATACAGTTTTTAAATGTGCAAAGCTAAACAATGCAAATATCTTCTGTATTTCATGTACATGTTAATTTTCATTTTCTCCCATTAGGTTATTAACAGGATGAGGAGGCAATAATGAAAGTTTATACTCTGTGTACATTTTATTTACTATGGTGTCAGGATGCCCCATCTCTGCAGTGAAATTGGCTTATTTTGCAGACACCTGGGCCATGGGACACCCCCAGAAATGTTCGTTGAATATGGTTTTATATTTTCTCCATAACTCCCTGCTCCTCTTTAAATAGGCTGATTCCTGAATTCCTTATGTATTTTTTTTTAGAAAACAATATCTTTAATTTTTCCCTATTTGTAGCTGGTTTTTGAAAGAAACATAAAATACTCAAAATAAACCTAGTATCATTTTTATTTTTACAACATTCACACTCTTTTCCCAGAATATTATTTTAAGTAACTAACACTGTAGATAGGTAGGAGGGGATGTTTTAAGTGGAACATTTTGATGATGGCAGTAGTATCTGTGCCATTCGTCATGCAAAATAAAGAATTTCAGGACTCTGTCATGCAAACATCTCTGAAAAAAGTGATCAAACCCAGCACAAACACGAAGGCTTAGAGGAGATGTCCCCGCTTCTCGGCACTTTCAGCTGTATAGGAAACTGGCTCAGATGATCTGATTCTAAACTCCTCCAATATTTCTATTCTTGCCCAATTTATTTCACCACAGACCCAAAGCCTCTGCAGTTCAAGGCTCTTTTGCCTTTCTACCCACGGGTCTATTAAGTAAGGACAATTACTCTGCAAAGAGGTGACAATTCCTTTATGGAAGATATTGAATTCTAGGGGGGCAAACAGTGCATCAATAATGAAAGGTCAGGAAGAACAGTGGTGCTAACTTCCCTGCCACAGAACGACTGTATGTAGGGGGGGGACATCCAGGGGACTATCTGGGGGGACATGAGGAGGGCATCCTGGGAGGCATTAGGGAGAGGGGCATTGGGGAGGCTTGGGGAGTGTCGGGGGTGAGCTTCCAGGGGAGGCATCCTGGGGGGCGATGGGAGGAGGGTGTGGAGGGAGCGCCAGGTTCCCATGAATAACAGCTGGACAGAGCATGGGCATCTATATGTGGCCTTCAGGCCTCCTTCGGCATAAATCTCTCTGAGATCAATTGGCTACTGAACCACTAACACTCCATTTGGAAAAACAAAAGCAAAAATTTGTCTTGTTTCAAAAACAGTTGGTCTCATGAAGGCTTCCGTGCTAGACCAACAGGGCTGGGACCTCGCAGGTGTTGGTGAGATCTGCTGACCTTTGAGAACTCCAGCGTCAGCAACGCCAAGCTTTGATGGATGAGGTAATGCTGATGGAACCAAAGCTGATTTTTTATTCAGTACAAGTAACCTCAGCTTTGTTCAGCTGAATAACTTCTGCTCTTCTAACACTCAGCGAATTGAGAGCTGTTTTAGAGCTTTGCTATACATCTGTCAAGGCAATTATAGAGGGTCTCAACTTTGGCTATAGATAACCCAGTTATTGGGATGATGAAAGGGTATTCCTGAGAGAGCCTTGTGGCTGAAAACAACCCAGATTCTCTTTACCATCATATAAGCCAAAGAGGAAAAAGTAGGGCAGTTTGTAAAAAAATACGTCGCCATACATTAATTACCAAACAATTACATTAAAATATTCTTATGCTTTTTTTTTTAAAGGGAAATAAAGGAAATGTAAGGAAAGACTATTCTATCAAGGCTGTTCTGAAAGGTACCTAGAAACCACAAATTAAACTCATGCTTTAGTTCTCACTTTCTTATCACTTCGGCATAATTCAAATGTGGCATTTTGCCAATTATCTCTAGTGCAAGAAACAGAGCATTAACCACATCTTTTTCAAGGAACAAAGTTCTTAAGAAGCAATTGATTACTGCTTGCTGAGGTAAACAGTCATTCTCTTGAGGATCTATTATTTATGGGATAAACCTTGAAGGGAAAAAAATTCAGTCTGAACACATTCATTGCTTTCATGGTCTTTGGAAGAACATAATCTTATTTTTTTCCCTCTCCTCGACATTCTAAGAATTTTCTTTCAGGGTACAGAAAGCAGGGGGCTGCAAGCCATAAATAGTATCAATATTTATAAATGATCACAAATATGTAATTTTAGCCTTTCTTCTTCCAAAAGGCATGAAATATCTAAATGGTGAATATAGGTGGAGTATATGGATGTATGCACACTATAAACTTATTCTCCTTATAAAAGCAAGCAAAATATATTGGGGGATGGGGAGATCTAATATGAAATCCCAAATCTATTTAAGGAAAAAAAAATCACATGTAAAAAACTCCAAATTAATATCTTCTTGAGAATGAATTGCCATTTACCACAGCAAAGAAAAGCTGACAAAAGTAAAATGTATGCTCTGCTAAAGTTTTAAATTAAATACACAAAGGCTGCAGAAAAAATCATCTAGGATAAATCAAGGGAATCTAGAGATACTTTAATTCACACATTCAATAAATATTACACAGCTGAAGTTCAGTTCAGCTTGCATTGGTTGTCGCCATAGCAATGGAGAAGAGACAGTTAAAAGACAAGTTACCATGTCTGTAGCGATGGTGGTTATATATCCTATTCAATTTTTTTCTTTCAAGAAAAAGCCTCTATGCAACTAAGATTTAATTTGATTCTATTTATATTTCCTTTTCACTCCAGTGCAAGACAATTTTGGGTTAATTACCTTTGAGTGGGGAGCATCAACTTATTTTTTCCCAAGATTCTAATGTATCAACTTTTTATATCAAAATGTTTTAGATCAAAATATACTCTTGTATTTTGATACCAAAAGATACCAATTCTTGAAGACATTTTCAACCCTCATATATTCCTTCCTGTGTCAGGCAGAGCCCTGGCGGGGACCAGATGGCTCACTCAAGTCAGCCAATGAAAGAGATTTTAACAAAGGGACCGTATATAAAGACGTGACAGGAAAAAGGGACAGCAAAGAGAAACGAAGGGCACCTCCCAAGGCAAAACAGCCAGAGTCTTCCTATCCCGATGCTGGAAGTCGTTGCCAGAACCTGGAGCGGGAGCTTCCCAGAGCGCCCCCTGCCGGGAGATGCAGCCCACGGCAGAAGACCGAGAGATCCTACAGGCCCCTGGCAGTAGAGGAACTAGCAGAAAATACACACTCAACCGCACCTCCTCCTGATCCCCGGCACTAGTCCTTACTGGTCAAACCAGACCAGCATCCCTCGGACAACAGGGCCCATTAACAGGGTCTATGCAAGTCAACCCCGCAGGACACAAAACAGGGCCAAAAGGTGATTGAAAAGAAAAAGCAAACCCACCACATACCCCATCTAGGCATATAATTGAGCCACAATAACCTTTCCGTTTCAAATTAGTACAGGAGGTTGGGCCTCCCCAGTGGCGCAGCGGTTTTGAGTGCTGGGTTGCGAAGCTGCCCGCAGCCTCTGTAGCACCGGTTCGATCCCCGGCTGCTCCCCGGCCACCGGAGGAGGGTCCCACACAGGCGCGCAGACCTCTCCTGCCGCCTGCTGCTCCCCTCAGCAGTGTACTTCGGTCCTTCTGCCTGTTCTGCTCCCCGCTCTGGCTCTGGTGAATTCTCTCACCCTCCCGCGCTTCTGACTGTACCCAGTGCTTGTATAAATAAATAAGTAAATAAATAAATAAATAAACAAAAAAAGAGTTCTCCTTAAAAAAAAATCCTTTAAATAAAAAAAAGAATTAAAAAAAAAATTAGTACAGGAGGGTTTTTTAACCAGTGAAGTAGAAAGCAGTTTGGATGCTGGAGCATCTGTAAAAAGGAATACATTGAACAAGACACTTGGATGCGTTATAAGGTAAGAGAAATATTTATTTAATTTTGCACAAGAACGAGCTTATACTGAACAAATTCAACCAAATAATATTAAGTGCAGTAAAACAAGGAAATAGGGATGACTTTTCCTGTTAGAAAATATTAAGTAACCATGCCTGTGCATTATTTTTATCATAACAATAACTTGTTGCACATTTCTTTTCAGTGTGTATACTGTACAGAACACGTTATAGCTTCTTTGCTTGGCTTCTGAAAATATAATTCAATCACCGCCTTACATTTTCTTTTTTTGCAGTGAAGATCCTAACTGATTTATGAAGATTCTGATCTAGAGGAAAATTGTTTGCACCAGTGAAGCAAGAGGCCCCTGGGGGAGGGGTCATGATGTCATAGCGTGTCCCCCATATGCACTCTTCTGCAAGGTGATGTCACACACAGCAGAGACAAGAATCCTGGGCTAGTTTTGCCCCAAGAATTTTCCTTGTGTGATTTTCTCAAGCTCCACAAATTTCATAATTGAAAGTTCACTCAGCTATTAACAAAGCTGCACTTAGATGCCCACAAATCATCCACTGTAAGTTTTAACTTTTTTTTTTTTAGTCTTTTTAATGAAAGAACCTTCTTTAAACAGAAATCTTCTGTGAGACAGTTAACTTCACAGTTCCTGAAGGCACTGTGGATCCACTGAGCAACAGATGTGGCCGTTCTAGAAAAAGAAGAGAAGCATGGTATGAATGTCTAGGCCGTTAGCACATACCCACACTCACTGCTGGGCACACACGACTATATGACTGACTTGTTATTTATGCCCCCAAAAGTTCACTGCCCAGTTATTTATGACAAACCATAGTGCAGCTTCATCGACCCCATGGTATTCTCTTGGGTCGTATTTGTCCTTTTATTTATTCACTTACAAAATATGAACCAAGTCTTCTAAGCAATATCAAGATACATGTACATATATAAAAGCACCATCCATATAGATAGCAGCTATCTGTTGATGAATTATGTGAATAAGGTCACTCTCAGGACAGGACTTATACTTTATAGGGGGAGAAAGCTAGTCAGAATCATGCAAAAATTATAACTTAAAAAATTGTAAAAAGAACGAGAAAGAAAACACACTGGGTGGTCTCATGTGATTATCAAAAGATTGGCTGTTCTGATCCAATCAGAGTGAGGGAAACTTCTCTGCAGAGGTTATGTATAAGCCAAAACATCAAGGGAACTGTGTGAAAAGGTAGGCCAAAAGCCCAAGAAACATAATGAGTAGAGGTTTTAAGTGAAGAGTTCTGCATCAATAAGAAATTGAAAAAAGTTCTGGGTGAGAATTCTGACTTATTGAAGAAAACAGTGTAGAGATAAGGTAAAAAAAAAAAAAAAAAACCCAAACAGGCAGGGAAAAAGTCAGGCATGTATAATTAGCTTTTAGGACAAAATAGCAAAACAATTTAGTGCACTAAGAAAATATACATCTTATTTTTTTGTTTCCTTGTGCACTTACTTTCTTCAAACAGAGAGGTAATAGCAACCACAAAAACAACAATATAATGCTGATATTGCTGCACTCATCATGAGGACAGTAACATCCGCTGCCTGGGCGCAGACTGTGTCAGATATTGTGGCAGGAGATTTAAAGGCCTACTGTAATTTCAATCTCACCGTGTCCCTTGCAGGATCGTTTCTATTTTTTATTTTTTTGTTATTTTTTTAAAGATTTATTTACTTATTCATATAAGAACTGGGGTACAGATGCGCGGGAGGGTGTGAGGATTCACCAGAGACAGAGCTGGGAACAGAACAGGCAGACTGACGAAATACACTGCTGAGGGGAGCAGTGGGCGAGACAGGAGAGGTCTGCAGCACCATGTGGGCCCCTCCCCGGCCTTCCAGGATCAAACCAGTGCTGCAGAGGCTGCGGACAGCTTCACAGCGCGGTGCTCAACCACCTGCTCCACCAGGAGAGGCCCGAAGGATGGTTTTTAATAGTCGCACTTTTATTTCAAAAACTGGTCATCAGCTTATATATCATGTCCAAAATAGCACAGGTAATAAATGCTACTGCTGGGATTCAAATTCAAGCTAATTTGACTATAAATTGCATCCTCTATTTAATATTTTCTCTCTGTTTATTATAGATGACTGAAAGTGTATTATACCTTGATGTGTTAAATCAAAACTGCTATTGTTTTAAGATAAGACTTTAAAAATAAAAAAGATTGTGATTCTTTAGGCTTTGTTGTAGCAGATCAAATGAGGGGAAGGTATGTACACTGAAGAAGAATGTTATTAGTTTAACCTACTCCACTGCCTTTCCAAGCTATTATTAAGCAGACTTCTTATTCTGACAGCAAGACAGCTGCAAGCATGTCTAGGGGCTCTAGTGGGAATGGAAAGTTTTGTTATCTTGTACAGAGGCTGGAGTTTCTGACCATAACCTGGTTACATAATCTTTCCAATCCATTTACTCAATAACATGAGTGATGTGCTGCTTTCTGAGAGTATCAGTTCCTCAGACTGTATGGTCTTTGAACAAAGAAAGTAGGAATTTCTGGAGCTTTCTGCCAATGAGTATGTGAAGTCAGAATTGAACTCTATGGGAAGGAAATTAGTATGATTTCCCTGAGTATGTTTTAGGAAAGGACTGTAACTTTTCAAAATATTCCAGAAGTAGTTTTTCTTATTCCATATCAATATGTCCTGCTAAAACAAGCTAAATGCTCCATAAATCATTGGAAAGTCCTCAATTAGAGAAGCATTGTTCATACATGAAAGATTAATAAAACATCCATTGGGGTTTCAGTTATGTCAGTTACTTAGGTAAGTCTAACTATTTCTGAATAATACACAGTATTGTAAACCAATGTTACTTTAACAAAACAATATGTATGTTTTACAAAAACCAAATATATATATATATATATATAAATATATAGATGGACAGATGAAATTACTCTGTTTCAATAGCAACATTTCATAATCTTTGATGACTTGTTTAAATCCCTCTTTGTAGTTCCATGAAGGGTGTCAGTGGGAAGGGGGCATAGGTAACCCCTCTCTGCCATTTATTATACTAATATTTACCAATTAGGACTTGAAAGGAGGTTAATATAACTGCAGTTTCTAAATGAGCAAGTTACAGCTCTGTATCAAAATGATACAGAGCTGTATCAAAATGATGATATTGCAGGTCTATAGTACATTCATTTCTTATATATTCGTCTGTGAAAATGCATTAGAAAAACATTTCTACAGGGTCATTTTATAGAACAGACAGGGATCAAAAGATGGGCATCATCTGAATTTTTGGCTTTGGCTATTGCCTTTTTTATAACCCTCTCTTTTGTAGGAATGACAGTAAAACCTAAATCTCTCTCTCTCTCTCTCTCATATACACACACACACACACACACACACACACACGATTAACCTTCCTATAGCTATCAGCTATAAAGTCTGTACAAAATATGAAAATAACTATTGAAAGCAGTGGCCAGTGACCAAAAGCGGGTAGTCTCTAGGTAAGTTTCGACCTTTGAAAGAAGGAAAATAAACAGTTACATTCAATTTTACTTGGCACTTCCCTGGCATTCTGTAGTCTCTAGTCTGTGAAGCTTAGGCTAACTATTGCTGAAGAAGTAAGTCACAATCTGATAGGCCCTGGATATTAGAGGATAGTTTTGAGGGCTATGGAAGTAGCTGGAAAATCAGGAGGGAATATCCAGAAAGGTGGGAGTAAATTAGCATAACAACTTTTCTTAAACCCTTGGTTGGTCTTTGAATTGAATGGGAGACTTGGGACAATCAGAGGGTCACAGCTTGAAGGCTGGAGGAACGGAGCAAAAATTCCAGGTGTTGCTCACTGTGGATAGCAGTGTGTAAAATCTTTATCCTGCCAAGTTAGAAAGAATTAATAAATAATTTAGCATTTCCAGGGAAAGCCCAAATGGGCAACAATGAAGAGTTAAACAATGTCTCAATAAGAGTCATTCTAGAACTAAGGATAAATCCAGAATAGGCCCACCTCTTCAGTGTAAAGTTGGGCCAATGGAAGTGCAGGATCATTGCCTAGAATGTGCAAGGGGCTAGAACAAAAATAAATGGTTTTCAGAAGAAATTTATAGAATAAATGACGGAGGACCACGGGTGCATTGTTGGGTGTGGTAACACACATCTGAAGAGGTGTGAGCATATTCCCGTGAATTATATACAGTGTTGTAAACCAGTATTACCTTAATAATAATAATACAAGAATATAGGGTCTACACTATAGATTATCCATGATATGCAATAAGCCATAAAAGTTATTAGACATTTAAAGAGAAACAGGAAAATGTGGCTTCTAATCAGGAGAAAATGGTGAATAGAAACGACTCAAAGATTATCCAGGTGGTATAATTAGCAGACAAGAAACTGAAAATAGTTATTGTGTGTGTGTGTGTGTGTGTGTGTATGCGTGAGAGAGAGAGAGAGAGAGAGAGAGAGAAAGAGAGGAGGTAAAAAATGATGGCCATAGTGAATTAAAAAAAACACATGGTAAATATCAGCAAAGTGCAATAATTGAATGAAGAATTCAGGACTTATAGCAGATTAGAATTGACAGAAGAAACAGTAAATCTAAAGATAAAACTATAGAAATGATCTAATGTTTAAAACAAAGAAAAACTTGAAATAAAAACAATGAAATTTCAAAATAGACAAAATAAATCTATTATAATGAAACCAAATTGAGGTTTGCTAAGGGAAGTAGGTATTGGAAAGTAGTGTTGGAAATATTCTGTTCTGATTTTTCAAACTCATCAAATTATACATGCAATAATTTTGGATTTCACTGTAATAAATCTTGCCTTAATAAAAACTAATTAAAAGGTGATCCATGGAAACATATTACTAGGAATAGTAACTACCTACTATGATAAACAATTATAAAAGTGAATTATTTTTACATAACATAGTAGGTTTCATTAATACCCACTCATTTATGGCTGCTTATTCTTAAAGTCATTATCATTCTTTTCATGTGAAACTCTAAAAATCAAGATTAGAAGACAGTAATCTTTAATTTTCAGTAATATATAATTAAAATATTTATCTGTTTATAAATATACACATTATATACTCTGAATATGCTATACAATTAATTTATACATAAATCATATATATTTTAAAATCCCACTATCAATATTTCAGTATGTTTTCATAGAATTTGTTTTCATATTCCTTTTTTAACTTTTAATAATCAAAATACATATTTAACTATACATACTTTTAATCTCTTAATATTTATTATAAATAGTATTATTACTTCATTGGTAAAACAATTTAATAATATAATTATATACTTATATATTACATATGATCAAATAAAATATATGGTAAATAATTATGATATAATGTGATATATTACATCTTAGTTGCTGTAAGTTATTCAATCAATTTTCTGTTTTGAACACTTGGGTTTCTCCCTTGATTTTTCATGACAAATAATGTTAGATGATTGACTTTCTATTTTGCTAATTTTGTTCTAAATTTTCTTTGAGGTGTATTTTATCACTTTTCAGTTAGGAAAAATAGGATCTCCTATCTAATTTCCTTTGTTTTGATTTACTTTTTTTTTTTTTAATAGAGGCATGTTTTATTTATTTATTTATTTGTTTGTTTGTTTGTACATGCACTGGGCACAGTCAGAAGTGCGGGAGGGTGAGAGAATTCACCAGAGCCAGAGCAGGTAGCAGAGCAGGCAGAAGGACCGAAGTACACTGCTGAGGGGAGCAGCGGGCGGCAGGAGAGGTCTGCACGCCATGCGGGACCCTCCTCCGGTGGCCGGGGAGCAGCCGGGGATAGAACCGGCGCGGCTGAGGCCGCGGGCAGCTTCGCAACCCAGCGCTCAACCGCTGCGCCACCGGGGAAGCCCTGTTTTGATTTACTTTTAATATTTAAAATTTTTTCCATGTGGGATCTTTTTCAATATATAATAATAGTAAGATTATTTTCCCTAAATTGATACCGATTCTTTTCAGCATTTGTGAAATAATGCTTTCTTCCTCCATTGCTTGCAAAGTTCTCCCAGTCATATAACAAAGCCTTCATTAGAATGATACCCATTTATGGATTATTTGTTTCCACAAGTAGATTCAACAATCCTAATTTAGTACAGAGGTCCACTTTCAAAACTTTAGGTATGACATTTTGACAGATGAGGACAATGTTTAGGAAGTTGAGAACTTCAACCTTACAAAACTCTACAGCGTTCCATCTCTCAAGTATTTTAGCATTACATCTACTGTCTTCCTAGGAGTTAAAAGTGACTCCCTGGTCTCCAATTTCCAATGTGTCCTATTCTGTTCAGTGATCACTTATTAAAGGAATTGAGCTTCTAATTCCTCTTCTTTCCTTATTTTTCAACTGGATAGATCCCTCTTTTTTGTCAGGAGCTCAAAACAATGTCTGCAAACACTCTGACCAATATAAAGGTGTGTCTCTACTAGATTTAGGAAAGATGTTTTTAATAAGTCATGTGTTTAACTTCTAAGTGGAGAAACAATTTTTAACCTAACAAAATTAAATTTGAAGACATTTTTTAAAAGGGAAGACAAATCTAACCCTATTTCACCCAATTAACTCCATATTTCTCATCTCCAATGACACTTTTTCTGGAAGCAACTGGCACACTATACACCTCTTAGCGCAGTGCAACTTTCCTTCAGAGCACCTACCACTGTTTATAATATTACCTTTATTGGTTTTACATCCTGATTAATGTCTGTTTGCTCTGCTACCAACTATAGTCATAGCCAACATTACGAGTGCTGAGAATGAATGTATGAAATGCGTATGAAACTTTTTGAATGGATCTCACTAAATCTTTACAGCAATCCTCTCAAGGAGGTACTAAAACAATTCCTAGGTAGTAGTATTATATTTCAGTACTATTAGTTGAGGTCACATCAGGGATGTGGTTGACTAGACTTTGAATCCAGGTAGCCTGATGTGAGATACCACATTCTTCATCTCTAGACTAACACTACTGAATAGAACATTCTGCATTGATAAAAATGTTCTCTGCATGTGTTGTCTGATGTAATAGCCGCTGGTCACATGTGGCTCCAGAGTAGTTAAATGTGGCCAGTGGGATTGCTGAGGAATGAAATTTTATTTGTATTTGATTTTAATTAATTTAAATAGCCATATGTGGCTACTACATGTTGGACAGCAGAGCTTTAGACAATATGATTTCCAGAAACAATTGTGTCTGATTTTGCTTATCATTATACCCCTGGTACTAGCCCAAAGCAATCTGTATTTATTGGCTAAAACAAATAACTCGGAGAGGAATGGGACGAGGAGAGGAGTGAAGAGTGCTCTAAAGGCACCAAGCTGTGAAGAATGCGCACCTCTAATATAACATCTGGTGGCTGTTTTTTGCGTACATTTTATTTTGGAAATAACAGAGTAAAATAAAACTGAGTGTCTGGGATAAATTTGGTAAAACTGAACACATTCTTGTAATGCATATTTAATAAGAAGGCAAAGGGAGATGACACCAAACAATAGCTTCTGAGAATCAGCACTGAACTGATCAGAAGTGAAATTAATGCTTCATGAGATTGTCCAGGGTATATTCCTACAATAAACCAAAAACTCCTGGTAGTTGTTTATAAGGTAGTGAATAATAAGCTCATCCATACTTTTTACTTCAGAAAATGCTTTAATATTTTTCAGTCTATTACTGAGTGCATTTTTTCCTAGTACATACATCTGTCTGAGTCACACTTGGTGTGTTTTTCATCCCATCACCTGGTATATATTTTTGTTGTCACTGCTCAGAAACGATAATCTAAAAGATAAACAGTTTAAGGGGACTGCATTCTATTTGGTAATTAAGTGTCAGAAAGTTTTTTCCATTAGTCACTAATACTGAAATTTCTAGATATGCAATGCTAAGTGTCCTCATATTAAATGTATACTAAAGCAACACTGCATACACCTCATTAGTAACTTTTAGTAATAGTAGTAACTTTCAAATTTGCTAATGCAATTTCAGATAACAGCATTAAGTATTCTCTCAAAAAGCTTTGCTTGATTGACAAATTGTGCCGACTGAAAGAGCTGGAAATTTTGGGTTGAAGGAGATAATAATGGTTTCTCAAAGCCTAAAGAATTATATATTTCTTTGTCTTGCTACGTCAACCCACTCTAGTAAGAATTTGCACTAAGTGAATCTGAATTAAATTGCTCTATTGGAAACATTTTAAAAATAGAATCCTCACTTAATCAGAGCAGTTATAAGTGTCTGGTTATGCTATGTTAGAAAAAAATATGACATCCTTGCTTTATTGTTGTTAAGCCTTCCAGATTACAGTTTCAGTGGTGATTCCAAAATTATGAAGTGCAATGACCACTAAACCACTTTTTTGTAGGAACAATAATTAAAATAGAATGCTTTCAACTTTATTACAACTTTGAACTCTATATACTGTCTACATCACCTGTATCTTTGCTTTCATTGAAACAAATGGCACATACTATTTTCCTATGAGTATAAGGGGGAAAAAAAAGAACTTTATGGTGATTTATCCTCCCACTGCAGGAATAAAATATGGTTAAAAAGCAGATCTTAAATTTTTCAACTCAATGTTACTGACCACAACAAACCAAGAAATATGCCCATTTTCTCTATATTGATTTCCACTTTGGAAAATGTAATATATCTACTCTGTCGATACATCTTACAGGCCTCATAAAAGAACCAGATAAAAATCAATAAAATAATATTGTTTTCTATCATGAAAAAAGAAAGATGAAGTCTGGTGGTATAGTTTTTTTTTTTTTTTTTAAACAGATGTGTACATACTTCAGGGCAATTTAGGTTCTTTCTGGTGACATACATGACTGAGTATTCCAATTTCTGACTAAGTGCCTCTGTCTCCATGAATGTGAGTGAGAGAACTCACAGCAGTCAGCCTTGGCAGCAGTGAAGCTGTGTGACACTCCTTGCACCTCTGTTTGAATTATAAGTTGGAAAAAGATAAACGCTTACCATTGGCCCGGATAAACACCGAGCCCTACCAGCCCTGGGTACGCTGACCAAGCGCCCCCCGACTAGTATATCATGGGCTTTACCTTGCACTGGCAGAGAGTACACTCGGCGCCGTGTTTGATCCACGAGGACCCAGTAAAGCGAACCACGTTCATCTCATCCAGGCAAGTCTTGGTGATATCGTTGCGGATGGTGTCGGCCTGGCAAGGGTCGGTGACGCAGCGGGGGCAACACTCGTTCTCCGGGAGGACACTGAATTCACACTCCACCTCTGGGCAAGGAAGGGGCCAGCAGTCCACCTCCCCTTGCTGTAGGGAGAAGACATGCATGGGCGGAGGGAGAGGAAGGCAGAGCATGTAGGGCAAGAGAGAGGGAGGGCGGGAAAGAGGGAGAAATGGAGGTAGGGAGGGAGAGCGAGAAAGAGGGAGCACTGTGTTTACCAAATACTCAATTTATTTGATAGATTTTATACTCAGACCTTCATAGTCATGACTCTTGTAAAGATTCGAAAAGCCCTATCAGAGTGATGAGATCTTACACTGCAGAGAGATTTTAAAAGTCTTCAAGGATCGAACAAGAACAATAAAAAGAAACTTCTTTTCTCTTAAAATAATCAAATTTCCATGTCCTAATCTTTCCATAAAGAGGAGAATTATTTACTGTGGGGCATATTTTTATTTAACTTTTTGCCTATGAGATACCTTTTTTCATTCTTTTGATATGCCACCCTAACTTTTTATTCCTTCCCTTCTGCATAAAGAAAGTTTTGGGCACTGAGTAGTCCGTGGATGAAATATTACAAGAATTTGATAGCTATTATTTCTTTCAAATATATAGTTCTCAGTGGAGGGACTTTGGGGGGAAGAAAATTAGGACCTGATTTCAATGTTTTTATTCCACATGAGAAAACTGCATGAATTCGATATTTTTAATATCCAATTTCCTTATTTCCACCTGCTCCCCATTTTCTTCATAATTCTGAATCTGATGGATTTGGAGATGAAAGCAGACTTCAGGCACAGAAACTGACCTTGCTACCTCAGTTGATTATTGGGTTGAAAGTACAAAAAAAAGCAACAAATTAAAAATAAACTCGCACAAATAGAAGAAACCCTAGTTATAAGTTTAAAAGTGGCATCTGGGAAATTTTCTTTTGTAAATACTCATAGACCAATTTTCTTTTAAATACACAAACACAAAACAAGAAATGGAAAAAATGAAAAAAAAAAAAGCTAGGGTTTTATCAAGTCTTTATTTTCTTTTTCCTACTGTCTTCAAGTCTTATAAATATATGCAGACATGCAGTTCTAATATGCTAATAAGCATCAACTATACAGCCATATTATGTGTAAACCATGGTATCCACAGAACCATGTCAACAGAACAATCTTTAGATGGAAAAAAGTGTTTTTTGTTTTTTGAAGTCTGTACATGATTGAGAGAAATAGATTAACAAAGTTTCTACTTGGAAAAAAATGATCTTTTTCGTGAAGGTCACTGTTCTGTCCTAATAACTTCTAAGTGAGATTAAGCTGGTTGGGGAACCGGGAGTCGCTTCCTTTGATTTCTGGTGATACTCCTGAAAGATGTCTACAACATGCACCACGCACCCCTGGATGTTTCCTCTTGGGTTTTGGCTGCACAACCATATCTCATTCATTCTTACCAGCACACTGTTTCTACCTGCCAGGGCTAAGGCCTGGCACTGAGCATTGAAGGGTAGAGAAGGGCGGGACTGCTTTCCCATTTAGAGTCTAGGCTTAACCATTCCCTCCATTTCATGTGGATAAACTCACCAAGCAGCGGCACTGCTGGCAATTCTGAACCCAGGTATCTCCACTGTTGTACAAGGTCTCCCCGTTTTGATGGAGGCACTGACTGCTAAGCCTTGGGTCACATTCGGGGCAGCAGAATAGATCAACTGTAGGATTCTCACAGTCACAGACCATCCGTCGGCACATGACAAATCCGTTCTGTAGGAAAAGAACCAAAAAAGCAGTTACCAAGCAGTTACAGCGTGTATGTGTGTGTCTCAGGTGTTGATAGCAAAGTTGAAATAATTCACACTGTTTATCCTGAATATACCTATTTTCTTTAAATTCCATTTGGTAGCTACCACACAGAAATTACCCAAATTGGGGGACTTGCAATTTCCTTTCCACTACTGCTCTTTAAATGACTTTACCAAAAAGAAATGTTCCAGAAACAGCTGATACAATATTACAGGTACTCTATGGTCCTTATGTGTGTATGTGTATATAAATGCACATATACTTGATTTTGAGTATAGTAATTTGATTACTAACTTAATTTTTTTGTGTGTGTGAGAAGATGTATGTTTGTGTTTGATAGCAAGTCAGAGTTTACATATTGTTACATTTCTGGAATATTTTACACCTAGTGTTTTTGTACAACAAATTTCTTTCAAAATAGTGGAGTCCTTGGTATATAGTATTATCCACTTAATTACAATTTATTCTCTCTTATTAACTGAGTTCCCCAAATAGAACACCTCTCTAGAACTGAAATATAGCCCAAATCTTGTTCATCTGCAAGACAGTGTATGTCCATTCTGGCTAAATTTATGCAGTCATTCAAATGTGATATTGTGACTTTATACATTAGCATAAAACAAAATTTTATCAGCTTGTGAATAAACACATTGTGGAATTTCTATACAATGGACTTCTATTTAGCAATGAAAAGGAATAGGTTACTGAGATTATATATATGTTAAAAACAATAAAACAATGCTGAGGGAAGAAAGCTAGACACACAAGAACATGCACTATATATTATCCCATTTATGTGATGCTCTAGAAAATAAAAATCAACTCTATAATGACAGAAGCAATGCTTGCCTAGGGCTCTGGGCTTAGGACTAAGAAAGGACAGAAGCAATATTTTGGGTAGAAGAAAATGTTCTATTAACTGTGATTGCGGTTAAATATAAATATGTATTGATATATGTCAAAATTCATCAGGCTGTACAGCTGAAATATATCAAATGACACCTCCACCAAATCAAAACTTTTGAATTTACACCAACCTGACATGAGCACACTGAGCACCGGTCATTTTCCAACACCCAAATCTGACCATTATGCTTAATTTTTCCATCATGGACGCAGTCCCCTGTGCAATTCTTTCCGTGAGGACATCGACAATCATATCCACCATCCAAGTTAAAGCAAATGGTATCATTGGCGCAGCTGTGTCTCCCAGTTCCACACTCATCGACATCTGTAGCCAAAAAGAGGCAGCAGGCAATGCACTTAGAGTATGTTCTTTCCTAACAAGTGCAAGCAGGCAAGGTGCCTCCTGATATAAAACATCCAACTGTCAACTCTTTTCATCATATTGGCATGCATTTGCTATTAAATGCTGACCAAAGCTATGCTAATGATCTCAGGATTTCACAGGGAAATATTATGAAGTTTTATTTCAAACACCAGGTAACCTTGGCTAGATTTGCAACTTTCACATCTCTGTAAATACCATCAGACTTTACACACTGATATTTTTGCAAAATAGAGACTCAGTCTATCACACAAAAACAGGTCTGCAATGGAAATTCTAAAAATGCCTATGATTTTTTATTGGGGAAATCGCCCTCAATGTTAAAATGGTGTTTATAGAAAATCCTTTCTTAATGAGAGAGGAAATGTCATGGGGCCCCTGAGGCATTTATTTCATTTCAATCCACATTCTCATGGACATGTCACTGATATATAAACTCTTCCCAGTGTTCCGCTTCTGTGTCCCTCCCTTCCACTCCAACCATTTGTCCTGACACCCTCCCTCCCACCCACAGAAGGGCAAGTGACAATTAGCAATTCCCATGTCTCTCACAAAGAATCCCCCATTTCTTAACTTTTCCATTTCACATTATCATTGCATCTCCTGGATTCGACTAGAAGGGCCCACTTTTAATCCCACCTCACAGATTCCATGGAGACCATACCCTACAGCATTTTCATACAGATGAAAAGCAAACATATCTTGACCCACAGATCAGGGCCATAAGAAGAGATGTGATTCATTTTATTTATCCCCATAATTTAAAGGTCACAACCCCAAATATATTTCAGGGATACTGTATGAGTGGCAGTAAGCAGTTAGTTCCTATTTCATCTGCTTCTTCTGAGTAAAGGTCAAGAAAGAAAGAATTAAATCACAGCAGAAAAAGTGGGCTTAGAGAAGATGAAATGTGTAGCTCTTAACTAGGGGAATTATACAATTATTTTCTTGAAAAGTTTAAAGCTAGAGTTTCATAAATCTATTCCTTGTTTCATTTCAATATGAGTTGTTGACATGGGCTACTTTCAATTATATTTTAACCATATTTAAATGCTTAAATAGTTAAATTATGTCATATATGTATTCCTGAAAATAAGCCACATATTTTTTCCTAGTTACCTGATTTTTACTAGCTCCCTTTAAACAAAACCAACAAACTGAGATAATGACTGAAAATGTTTCTTTTTAAAATAACTACAGTGAATTCTATTATTGTTTGATTTGTCAAGGATAATACTGCTTATATTAAAGACTATAGTCAAAGGGAGGCCTGTTAGCCAGCAGGAGGAATTTTTTAAAAATAAAGTATATTGGTTAACATATATGCTTTTCATATTAGAGAATAATTTCTCTTGGTAATGGAAAACATTTTATAATGTAGTTACAATGTTATATATGTATATAACGACATTATTTTATAACATAGTCCTATATTTGGTCTATTCAGAAAAACAAGGTGTATTTAATGATGTGAGCTTTGTCTCACATTAAATATTCTTATAATTAGGAATTATCAAAAGCAGGAAAACATCAACCATAGTTTCTTGGTCTTTTTGACCATAAACTCCACAGATACCTCTTTCCCTTAAAACAAAAACAAAAACAAAAACAAAAACAAAACTACTATAAGGACATTATTATGTTAATAGCAATGATTGGATTTTTATTATTATTTTGCCTACATTTAAAATAAAAGTGCTGTAGGTCTCCCCTGGTGGCACAATGGTTGAGCGCTGGGCTGCGAAGCTGCCCGCAGTCTCTGCAGCACCAGTTGATCCCCGGCCGCCAGCAAGGGTCCCACATGGTGCGACAGACCTCTCCTGTCCGCTGCTCCCCTCAGCAGTGTGTTTCATCAGTCTGCCTGCTCTGTTCCCCGCTCTGGCTCTGGTGAATTCTCTCACTCTCCTGCGCTTCTGACTGTAGCCAGTGCTTGTATAAATAAATAAATATATCTTTAAAAAATTTTAAAAAATAAAATAAAAGTGCTGCTATGAGGTAATATGTATTTCTTTCCTCAAAGGTAGAGACTCTTTGGATTTGCTGCAGAAGACAAAGAAGTGAACACACACACCCACACACCTCTTCAAGTTTTCATGATAAAAATTTTTTAAAATAGAGTAAAAAGTTGCTCCCAACAAACCTGGAGAAATGTTTATGCAGAAACATAATAAACATAATAAACTGTTTGCTATCAAGTGCAATTTGAATTAATTGGAACTCATCTTGCCTTTTCTGCTTGTTATCTGCCTACTGGATTTCTTAGTGTACAGACTATTCTTAACTGAATCGTAGTACAGAATTTTGGAATTCATGTTTGCACACTCTGCGGGTGTGGCAATTAACCAATGTGAAAAAGTAAACAAAGCAAAGAGAAAGAGTGATCTAGTCAGAGGCAAAAGAGTATTTCAAGGCCCAAAATTTAAAGCCATCAACAGAAATGTGGGTATGACTTGAGTTGCAGGGAGAAAATAGTAGACAGGCATGTGTCTAAGAAGGTACTCAGGACTCAGGTAAAGGTCATGGTAATAAGTTTACCTTTATCATAAAGACAATACAATATCGCCTTAGGGAACACACCAAAAATCATAATCAGATATCCATTTTAAAAAGATAACTTCAGCTTCATTTTAGAAAAGAGATTTGAGTAGATTAGGACCTAAAGCCAGGAGAACAATCAACAGATTGTTTCAGTGATCTGGGCAAGAGATGTCTACACAATCAAAGTAAATATATAGTGTTTGGTATGTTCCAGATTCTAACTACTTTCATGTATTTATTCATTTCATCCTCACAATAACCTTGGCAGGTACAATTATTATCTCTATTGCATATATAAGGGAACTGAGTCATAAAAACATTGCATAAGTTTCCCAAGATCCAAAACCAGTAAGGTGCAGAGCTCAGATGGGAATCCAAGGGGTCTGGCTCCATGTCTGTGCTCCCAAGTGCAATGTTGTGTCATCAGTTGCAGCAGGGATGCATAGGAAGATGCCACTGAAACAAGGTAGCTAGAATTTTCCAAGATAGAAACAATGAAAATAAAACAACTTGATGACTTGTTGGCTTCAAAGATTAAAGGGAGGGGTGAAGAAAGAAGTTTATACTTCTGGATTGAAAAATTTGACTGATGCTACTGTATTTACAAAAAGAACTAGATTTGACTGGGTAGTGGAAGTGGGTGGCAGGAAAAAGAAGAGACATGAGGTAGTTTAGGACATGCTGAATTACGCCTTCCTCTGGGGCTTCCAAGTAAAATTGTCCACTAGTATCTGGATATATGGGAGTGGATTTGCTGAAGGCTGGATTTTTGTCATTCCCTTTTCTCAAAAACAGTCCTTCAGACTCAAGTACAAACATTCCATTAAGACATGTAAAGTCACTTCCTTTGCTTGGACTTTCTTTCCCTTCATCACTTGCCAATAATGACATCACAAAGTCCTAAAACAAATGGGAGATACTCTTAAAACATTTCTTGGATACAAAAAGGGAAGCATTTCTCTTTCTGTCCATTTAAAGAACTGAATTTATATTTTCTCAAGTATCTGTCTTTTTCGACCTTGTAGTTTTCTCATCTATTAAGAAACTCAGAACATTCTATCTTGTGTGACAGTTGTACATTTCATCTCTTGTCTACATTGACATCGATGACCACACCTCCTTTATATATGTATATAGTAGAGGTTTCAAAGAATCTTTCAGTAACTACTGAATTACTGAATTGTTGTGTTACTTTGAATCCATTTATTTTTTCATCCTTTTTGTTGATTTAGATTAAAATATATTATATTTGGGTTGAACATAACACTCAAAAGATACTATTCTGTAAACATTACTTTGTAATTCTTATAAGTTCAAAAAGCCTCACTAAACTCACAGGTAATCCATAAATTAAAGGAATAAGGGAAAATGTGGGTATGAAAATGAAATCAGAGGGAGACAAACTTGAGGGCGCAGTGTCGCTGATGATGGGTCAGGGAAAGTGGCACTCTGGCACCTCACCTGCTGGCTGGCTGTCTATACCTCTGAGATGAATGGATGAACACAGCAGCATAAATTTGTGTGGATGCAGCTTGTAAACACTATGTTGTAGATTACATAACTTCAGCCTAAAACATGGTGAAATGGTGTACAGTTATTTATTGACATCTTCAAGTATGAATCTTAGTCTTCGGAGAAATTGTAAACCCACTGCTGTGGAATTATCCACTTTGAAATGCTCGTTTTTTTTAAGAACAGAAAAATTGTACCTTCACAGATGTAATAATACTCTTAAAACAACGTCCCACTAAATACTAATATTACAATTCCACGAATCACTGAAATTACAGTAAATGGACAGTTGTTTAGAAGCATTTTAGTCTCTTATTTATAACTGAGGAGGTTCTTTCAAATAGAATCCTTCAAAGAAAGAGAACATTTTTTTTCTGAAAAAGGAAATTGCTTAATCTTTACAAATTCTTTTTGGAAGAAGAGTAAAATCATCCTTCCAGAATTCTATTTTGTAAAACACAACACTTTTCACTGTTTCTGGGTTTGTGGAATTTCCTTGAAGTCTTTTCTGTGTGGGCATCTCATAGAATCCTTTATTTCCCCATCCTCATATTAACCACCTGTCATTTTATTTTTATTTGCATATTTTATTCCACTTCACGGAATTTATTATAAGAAGGAGGTAAAAAAAATGCACAATGATAGTCACACCACATTTTTAATTAATTTATTTTTATTTAATAAGGTATCATTGGTGTACAACACTCTATGTGATTCAAAGGCACAGGATCACACCTCCTTGTACGCCTGTCACCACAGTCCCTCGTATTCTCTCCTCACGTTGTTTTCTGCCTTCCTCCTCCCTATTTTGTAGCCTCAGTTCCACACTCAGATTTCTACTTTACTGTACTGACTTACTATAATTTGTTTTCAGTGGAGTCTTCAGGGTTTTCTATGTATTTTATTATGTTAGTTACAAACAGTGAGATGAGTTTCACTTCTTTTCCAGTTTGTGATACTTTTATATATTTTGCTTGCCTATGTTTTAGCTATGACTTCCAACAATCTACTGAATTGTAGTGGTGAATGTAGGCATCCTCGTCTTGTACCAGTTCTTAAAAGTATTCAGCTCTACACTGTTGAGTATGATGCTAGGAGTCGGTTTTTAATATATGACCTTTATTATGTCACAGTATGTTTCCTCTATCCCCAGTTTTTTGAGGGTTTTTACAAATGGATGCTGAATCTTATCAAATGCTTTCTCTGCATCTATTGACATGATCATAAGATTTTATATTTCCTTTTCTTGGTTACACCTACTGATTTTTCTGATGTTGAGCCACCCTTGTGCCCCAGAAGTAAGTTTCACATAATCATGTTGTGTGACCCTTTTGATGTATTGTTAAATTCATTTGCTAAGATTTTTTTGTGGATTTTGCATCTATGTTCCTTGGGGACATCGGTCTGTAATTTTCTTTTTTTGTGATGTCTTTGTCTGTTTTGGCAGAGAGTGATGTTGGCCTCACAGGATGTGTTTGGAAGCATTAGCTCTTCCTCAAATTTTCTGAGAACTCACTAGTGAAGTCATTTAGGCCTGGGCTTTTGTTTTGGGGGAGACTTTTGTTTACTGTTTCAATTACCCTGTTTGTGATTGGCCTGTTCAGGTTTTCTATTTTTCATTGATTCAGTCTTAGAGGGTTGTAATTGCTAAGAATTTGTCCAATTCATTGTAGTTATTCAACTTGCTGCTAGATAGAGGTTTGGAGCAATCTTCTGTATTTTGGAAATGACTTGTAATTTTTCCTTTTTCATTTCTGATTCTACTTATTAGAGTTTTCTTCATTTTTCCATAGTTAGTCTAGCTAGAGGTTTGTTGATTTTGTTCATTTTTTCAAAGAACCAGCTTTTGGCTTCATTGATCCTTTGGACTGTCTTTTTGAGTTCTATGTCATTTACTTCTACTCTAATTTTTATCATTTCCTTCCTTTTCTTGGCCTTTGATTTTGTTTGCTCTTCTTTTTCTAGGAACTTAACATTAGCAGTAAGGTTGTTTATATGAGCTTTTTCTTATTTCTTGATGTGGGCCTGTATTGGTTTATACATCCCTCTTAGTGCCGCTTTAGCTCTACCCCAGAGGTTCTGATAGCTTGTGTCTTCATTTTGTTTCTTTTCAGGTATTTAACATTTTTTCTTTCATTTCCTCATTTATCCCATGGTCATTCAGTAGTATGTTGTCCAATCTCCATACAGTAGAGGTTTTCCTACTTTGTTTTTGTGATTGATTTCTAGTTTAATACCATTATTGTTACAGAAAGTACTTAATTTGATTTACTTAATCTTCATGAATTTATTGACACTTGTTTTGTGATCCATCAAGTTGTTTATCCTGGAAAATGTTCTGTGTGCACTTTAGAAGAATATACATTCAATACAGGTTATGCTTTAAGCAGAAATGGAAAAATATGGGGAGAAGGGGGAAGTAAAATGAAAATGCATTTTCAACTTTATATATTTCTGTATTATTTGAATTTAGTGTCAGCTTATATTCATTATGTGTAAACTTAAAAGACAATTGTAACAACAACAAAAAAGAAGTACTGAACATTTCTTCCTCATAATATAATATAGAATAAGGGCAAAGTAGTGTATCAGTGAAGAGTAAAAATCACTGTGTGTAATCTATATTTTCTGGCATCCTCTATAAGGCTGGAGATACTCAAGTGCAAGATAAAGACCTCAGATGACAATTAAGTGGTTATTTGCTAATATTCAGTTTTAACCTCTTGTAAGGAAAAAGCATTTCCATTGCTATGTAAAATCCAGTTGAATCCTCTGCTAAAAATCCAGAGCATGCTGGGAGTCTTGGCATCCATCACCCAAGCCTGTTTTACTTTTCTCCATAAAAAGACCTTTGAGGCCCAAGGATAAAAAGCATCTTATCATTCAGGTGTCAGGTACTGTTAAGTTAGATTCTCTGAAGTTTTCACTGATTGGTCATCTTCACTGAATTATTCCTTCCAGCTGTTACTTTATGAAGGTGAAAATGATGACCTCTTGAGACTGATTTTGTTTTCCATTCCTGAACCAAACTTGTGATGGCAAATTCATTCAGTGTAGGTGATTTTTTTTTAGCAATTAGTCATTTGGTTCCTCTCACTCTGCCTTTCTAAGTATAATACCCTTTAATAGAGTATACAGGAGCAGTGCTGTTTACCAATTCACTGAAAATAATTCAAATTTGTGATATATATAATTGAATATAATATGGTTGAGTTTTCTACTCCTCATAGGTTAAATCTTCTTTGAAATAGGAACCATATTGTCTGTATCCAACATACAGTGTTTACTAAGCTTGTTTACCTAGCCAGGCAAGGATGTGTGAGGAAGAGACCAAAGTAGCATCATTTGTGTATATTATCCTTGGCCATATCCTCATCATGTTGGGTCAGATATTTAAATGCTGATAAATTTACCTGGTACTATAGATTTATTAATTCCCAAAATGCCCTTTGCCAGTTGTGAGTATCAACAGATCATTTAGTCTCACAAATTTAATTATCTAAGAAATCAATCAATTACTGTAATCAGCAAGCCAAAGTTAGATTTCAGCATATTCCCAATCACTGTTGTATAAACACACAGCAAAAGTCACCATTAACTTAAACACTAGATAAATCTCTACCATATATACCTTACTATATCCCCTTCAAGTTCAAGAGGTGTTCGTGAATCTTCTTGCACTAACCTTCACATGATTCTCCACTTGGTGAAAACATCCCATTATCATGGTAGCCATCTCGGCACTCACAGTGGTACCATCCAGGCAGGTTAATGCAGTTAGCACGGCTGTCACACTGAACGAAACCATCAGAGCACTCGTCAATGTCTGTTTTTGGCAAAGAAAACAAAAATGGGATGTTATACAATTTCTCCTTTTTCTTCAAAGAAACTAAAATATTCTGTTAGATGGCTACCGAAATCTCTATTGCCAGCAAATCCTTAAAACTAAGAAAATACAACATTAAGGAAGTTCACTTGGTGATGGAAAGCTATACAGAAAAATACAATGGTATTAGTAACAGAAGAAAAATCTAGAAGTCATTCAATTGTAGCAAATGGGAGGAAGCTATGTATGACTCATTATTATTGTTCACTCAGTATTTGCAATGCTTCTTCTCTATACAAGTTAGGGTTGCCATGTTACTTCCTTAAGCTGATTAGGGAAGCCTTTAAGATGCAAGTGTGATTCACAAGTACTCTTTCTCCAATCACAAAGACAATTTTCAGAGGCTCTGAAGACCAATCTAAGTTCCTCAGTGAGGATGATGGACATACAGTATGAGCAAGAAATCAACTTGTGTTGCTTTAAGCCAGTAAACCAGTGAAATTTTAGGGTCTTTTATTACTATCTGCATAACTCACACCAACCTGATTAACACATCATTTATCTTCAACATTTAGCAATAGCAGTCCTGTATCAATGTGATTCATATTTTTGAGTATATCATTTATGTCAGTTTAAATGGGTTTCATATATACCACCTCATTGAAACCTCAAAAAATCTTGCCATGTAGAAAGTATAATGAACACATGAAAAATTGAGGCAAAAAGAAATTATGGGAATTAAACAAGGTCACCCAAAAGTTTACAGTCATTTGACTTTTAAGTGTGTGCTCCTTTATAATTACACTGGCTGAAATTGGCAAAACTGTCTATATAAAGAGTTATAAATCTGGAATCTTACCTGTTTTCTCTATCTGTTACTACCATTCTCAAATACCTGTGACCTTTTTTCCCCTTGTTCAGTCTGTTGAATGATGGGAACATTCAACCCCATCCAAGTCTCTTCTTTTTCTCATTAAAGGTAAAAGCAACCCTGGAATTGCCTTAGAAATGATCCTCTTCTCACGCACAGCAAAAATCACCAATAACTAAAACATTAGATCTATCTCTATATTTACATCTTACTGAATATTCTTCAAGTCCTGTGTTTCTGCATATTTGGGGGTTGACTTAGATCCTCCAAGATGATGTGATAGCACTGTACCACAGTCACTGCCAAAATTATACATGGGAACCCCACTTCCATCTTGACAGCCCTGTGCCATGACAAAAAATTCCACCTGCCAAAGTAGATGAGCTCTTTCTTATATACTTCCCACACCTGCAGTTTATTTCTTTTTACTGTGGCCAGACACAATGTCATCCTTTATGCTGAAGACATACTCAGCTGCTTCTTGGAGTCCTTTCTCCCTTATAGTCCACTCCTGTTCAGCAAACTCTGTTTCCTATTTCCATCTCATCTAACTCCAAATTCTTAGAAGCAGTTCTCCCTGGTGGCCTGGGGTTTAAGTCTCAGTGCTGTCATGGCCATGGCCTGAGTTTGACCCCTGGCCAGGGAGCTGACCCACATGGTGCAGCAGACTTCTGTCTTGCCTGCTGCTTCCGTCAGCAGTGGATTTCAGTAGCTCTGCCTGTTCTGCTCCCCACTCTGTCTCTGGGGTATCCTCTCACCCCCCACACCTCTGGCCCACACCCCTATTCTTCTGTGCAAAAAAAAAATTCTTAGAAGTATATATTCCTTTAACTTTCTTTTTAAATATCATCTTTTCCTAAGTTCAACTTGGAAGAGAAAATGTTAAGAATAAATCAGTTTTTAAAAAGAGAAGTCATTGTTTATTTACTTGTTCCTTCAGGGAAACAAGAAGTAAATTGTTTCAGATTATTAAATAGGCTAAAAGTTAAATATTTTATACCTTTGCAAAATTTTCACATTATTTCTGAACAAGAAATGATTTTGCCTCCTGGGTTCACCTTCTGAAGAGTCAGTTCCTACGGTCAGTAATTTCTACTGTCAAAATAATTGTTAGTGGCTAAATCAGCTAGCCATTGACTTTCCGACACAAAGCGGATATGGATCACTTTCATATACCAAGTTCTCATAGGTTTTATGAAATGGCCTATTTGTATTTCAGGGTCTCCCTAACTAATGACCACCGATTATAAATGGGACCAAAATGCTGTGCTCATTTCAGCTTTAAGGTTTTTTGTTCTAACCCAAATGATGCAGAAAATTGATTATGTCATTTCTTGAGTGTATGGACAAAAGAAAACAGGTTGGGATTTAAACTTCAGAACTAAGTTTCTGGGAAGAAGGCTATGAGGAAGATGTTCGGAATATTTAATTTTAGAAGAATCTGGTCATTTGCTTTGATGATCTGGAAATAACTATTAATTGAACAGAGTCTCCTCTACTGGAGCAAGTTTGTCATCTACATTTAGCCTTCAACTGAGTCCTTTCTTCTAGTCTAACACTAAGGTCAGATTACTTCAGGTCAGTGAATACATACATTCAATTTTTACTCATCTAATTTCTCTTGTTACTTTGTTTTCAATCACATTTCCAGCCTATACAGCCTCAACTCCATTTCTTTATTTATATTACAGTGACCTTCTGTGATCTGTAAACAGTCCAAAAAAGTTTAATAGAAATGCTATCACTTAATGTTTTGACGATTGGGGAGATAAACATATGTTCATCAGGATGTATTTTATGTATAGTTTGAGTATTATTTTATGTTTACTTATTCCTACTATTTTAGAGGGGATATAAGCAAATAAATATATGTATCACTCATTAATTTACCATTCAAATATTTATTGAACACCTGTTATGTCTAAGAAACAAGTGCAAGGGGAATAAGGATGTTACAGTCAGAAGTTATATCTGCCCTCACTGGTTTTACTATCTATCTAAATTGTGCTTCAAAAAAAACTAAATTTATGAAAATCTAGATTTACAATCATAAGGGACAGTGTTTCCCAATATGTTATATATCTGTCACTACTGTTATGATAGCTTGGTGATAATAGACAAATACTTTATTTTAGTGGCTACATATTTCAATTTATTAATTATTCCCATTTATAGCAAGTAAAACTAAAAGAAGTAAAATTGTACTTAAATTTTCAGTAAGTTAGAGGGATTAAAGAAAAAACATTAAGTAAATATTGGTATAAACGGTATAAAAGTATAGCAAAAAAGGGCCTCCCCTGGTGGCGCAGCGATTGAGCACTGGGCTGCGAGGCTGCCCGCAGCCTCTGCAGCGCCGGTTTGTTCCCTGGCCACTAGCGAGGGTCTCACAAAAAAAAAAGTATAGCAAAAAATAGGAAGTAGTATACAAACGATTATATAAACACTAAGCTTAAAACACCAATATTCCATATGGAACAATTATTCACATTTCAGAAGGATTTGTGGAATAATTCCTTAGGTAATGAAATGTTTTAATTTATCTAAAATATTGGTTCAATTTATAAAATATATCAGTGTACAAATATATGGCTCAAGATTATAATACTTGATTCCATTTAGAAGGAAAAAAGGCAAGTCAGATAATAACTATTGCTTCATTGTATACTTTCGAGTTTCTATTTATTTTGACTTGTTTATGTAACCCTTTCTATCTTGGTGAGTCAGTAGAATGTGAAAGTAATGAAACTCTTGAAGAAAATGTAAGAGCTGCCAAAATACTTACCTCTCACCAGAGGTAAGTGTGGTTTTTTGCTCAGAACCCTAATTGAAGACAAAAACCCCAAACAGTCTCATTTGTTGAATGCATGATCTTAGTTACTCAGTAAATGTTTAGTAAATAAAAAAAATGCAATCTGACCCATATTTTATGAATTATGCTTAATTTGGCTAGACCGATGAGTTACACTATATAAATCCACATAACTAAAAATGACACATAATCTGTATTTTCAAATATTCACATAACAGGCTTTACCTATTGTATAAGAGCAGCAAATAGTAAGAAGCAGCCAAAGATTTTATTTCTTGTATACTTTCTCTAGGTGCATTGAAACCAAACTTTACATATTCTAACTAAAGTAGACACACAGAGAACATAAGACCTAGGGGAGAAAATGATTAATTTATTCCATATAAGAGCGACCAAGTTTGTACAAATTACTTTCCAAGCTGAATAAAGTATTCAAAAATGATTAGTACAGAAAAAAAAATAAGTACAGGATTATAAGCACATATGATTTATTCTTGATTATAAAGACCTTAATTTTATACTCTGTAGGGACATTATATAAAATTGAAAATTAAATTTTATGAAAATTATGATTTTATTACATATTCTATCTTAGAATGGAACTAGCTTGTAGTTCCTTAGGAACAATTTAAAACTTTTCCAGTAGATACATCTGCTTTTCAGAATAGTCAGTGATGATGTTAAGATTCCATCTCCAAAGCATGGAGAAGCTGAAATCCACAAGATGGTTACCTACCCAACAACAGTCACCTATAGCAGTCAAAATCCAGAGGCTAAAATCAACTAAGATAACAAAAGTGAACAGCACTGTTGAGGACAGAGTTTGCAAAAATCACATTTTGAAGAAATCATTAAGAACAAGGCAACAAACAGAAAAACAAGAAAGGAAAATGGATGAATAAAAAAACTCACATATGAAAGTTTTGTTTTCTTTGTTTCCCTCAACTAGCAACTGAAAATGACATGAGCAATCAGCATTTAAAGAGTCACTTCAGAAAATGACTAGTTATTCTTCATAAAACTAAACACTTGAATGATAAATGTTGGGTTTACAGGGTTAAAAGCTCAGTCTCTCCCTTGCCTTGCAGACTGAGATGGGAAGTTTTGAACAGATAAAGGAGTCTGAAGAGTCACCTTGGAGACTTTGGGCAGATAAGGGAACCAAGTGATTGTTACTGAGACAGGCCATAACGCCTACCTGTGGCCATTAAAGGCCGATGTAAATTCTAAGAAATGCAGGGATTAATCTAGTGTGTAAGATCTTTAATGGAAAGGAGCTTTAATACAATTAGTGTGCAATAAAGAGAAGAGAAGGAATAG